ATAGTTATTTTTAATCATGTGATGACATACGTCGGGACCACTTGGGATTTTAAACCAAGCCTGCAGTGGTAGGGACACTACCACTGTGCCACAAGAGCCCTCTCATGTTCACATTCAAATCATAGCATACTGCAGCACAGCAGACAGCCATTCAGTTCACTGTGTCAGCTCCGTTAGCAAGCTAGCTAATTGGTCTCATTCCTCCCCAACAACCCATAAACATTTCAATCACATATCAATTCCCTTCTGAAAGTTATGAATAAATCTGCTATTCCAATCTTTCCAGGCAATGTATTCCAGATCATAAAACAAAATTTCATCTCCTTTCTGGATTTGCTGTCAATTACTTTAAATCTGACTCCTCTAGTTATTAACCCAACCACCCATCAGTTAATCCCAACCTACTCTATTCAAACTCTCATACTTTTGAGCATTTGTAATTAATCCCTCTTTATTCCAAGGATTAAGTCAGTTTGTTGGAGATTCATCACCTGCAGGTTGTTTGGAGAAAGGAAGTATTCCCAACAGTAGTCCCTCTCTGATCTGAAACCTCGCCTTTTCGCTTCTTCCCAGCCCTGAAAGTAGAAGCACACATCAATCAGATCACACTGGAAACTTGTAACAGTGGGTACTGGCTATGGCAAGTCAGAATCAATACAACAAATATGACAGAGAACATTGTTCATTCACCCTTTTAAAAGAAAAAGAAGATTCAATGCAACTGCTGCACAAAAAGACAGAGGAAATATCATGGTGACAGAAGGCAGAGGTCAAAGATTGAGAGAAACAAGTACAGAAAAGATAGCTGGCTAAGACAAGGCATCAAACAATAGAGTCAATGAGACTAAAAACAGCAGCAGCATATTATAGGCAAAGGTGCAGGATAAAAACCAAGGTCATTCAGTCAAGATGTGAGGGTTGCATCCATCGCCCCATTGTATGAAACAGATAATACTGGCACCATTCAACACATCAATTCAAGACGTTTTGCAATATGCACTGTGATGTCAATCTAAAGTATATTTTATAATTCTTGCCAAAACTATTTAAAATCTATGAAAACAGATACAGAAATTAGCAAAAATTCACCAAGCAGCATATCACCAACACCTCCATGACCCTCAGCTCAATCTTTGGGTTTGTACTCACCAGAGTTGAGAAGATTTTGGGGGGGGGGGGGGGGGGGGG